AATTTAATGTGAGGGGAGAGTTCCTCTTCAGCAGACTTGAGAGGTGATAAACTACCCAGCTCAGTGAGGTAAAGGACTCTGAGTATTTTAGATAAGTTAACTTAGTCTAAAGTTATCTCATGGGTCTCAAAACCGGTTCTTGGTCACAATTATGTAAACAAATATTTCCCAAGGGCCACTCCTTTATAATTTATTGGGGACAAACAGGTTTTGAAATCATTTCAATGTATACTATAGGACAGTAAACCCAAAAATATTGTTTTAAACTGGAGAGATTAAAAAAAATGCACCGAATAAATTAAATGTTAAATAAGATTATGACATGAACAAACAAAAATAAAATAAAGTTACATTTATTGTTATTGGCTATGGTAGGTATTGCTTATGTCACATACTTTATTTGATTAATTAAAAACTGTAAACCAATCTTTTTTCATATGGTGTTAGGGGGAGTTGACCCCCCTAGATCAGTAATAATTCTGCTTAAAAGTTGGCGACCAGATTGAAAGCATTACTTAAAAGGTCGCATTATCATGCCATTTCCACTATTCATTAATCCATTGTTGAGGTATACTAAAAAATAGAAAAATACTGGTGCAATTTTCCAAACTCACATTGGTTTCCGCATACAGCCGATCTCTGTAAAGTACTGTGTATTCAGGCAGGTATTCACTTTCTCCACTAAACGGCTCACTGGCAGCTCCTCCCGGCCCCCCCCCCCCCCCCCCCCCCCCCAACCGCCCTCCGTGGATTTCCTGTGTTTAGCGTCACACAGGCCAACAACAAGCCAAAACTCCAACTTGAAAACACACCCACAAAGTCACAGCCCGGAAATAAAAACAAAAAAAACAATAAGTGTGGCTTGATATTGAGTAAGAAAAAAGGTTTATAGATTGATAAACGCTGTGGAAATGGGTCTGCAGAGAAGAATTTCGCGCGGATCCCACCTGTCAATTTTATCCAGCCTGCAGCACGGAGCAGAAATCAAGCAGGGTGGCCTGCCACTGGAGGTTGCTGTCTTGTGTTGTGTGGATTGGGTCCAATTTGGGACCAATCAGCCGGGGGCTTAATGTAAACGGCCTCCCCACGGATTGGCCCATTTAGTTCCGGTACGTGCTTTCGTAAAGCACGTAACCCGGAAAGAATCAATGGGATGAGACGTCCATGATGACGGTTTCACCCAACGAGGCGTTTTGGGAGGTATTTTCCTTGTTTTAGAGTTTTACTCGGCTACAGGGTGTACTTTGAGGGGTTTGGACTCTGCCACACGTCTTACATGCAAGGAAGAAGAACCTTCATAACACACAAGGGGACGGGTAATAAACCGAAAGCAACATGTGACATTAAAATGTTAAAAAAAATCCTTTCCCGGGGGGGGGATACCTCCGGACCCCCCTTAAGAGCATGTGGACGGTCCACCCCCCCATTCTATTGTGTATTTCCTTGATACTCTATTGATCTTTATATTTTCTATTTAAGATTCTCTGGCTTGGGGCGCCACAACTCAAATCTCGGGCCTGTGCTGGCAAAATTGGTCTAGGAGCCGGCCCTGCCTCCCATTGGGATACTTTGTCTTTACTTCGGTAACATAATGACATCATAGGTACTAACTTGCACTTCTTTATTGGGCTTAGTGCTTGCAACACATTCGCTACGGTATAGGGCTTAAGGGGCGGAGGCAGACTTGGGCTGCTGGTTTTCCAGACAGAGGGTGAAACAGAGTGGCTGCAGCACAGGCAGGATGAGAAAAATAAAAGCTTTTGGGAACAGTAAAGCCATGTTAAGACATGTCACAAGTAGAGGCACTAAATACGACCCCTCCAGGGAAAACCCGATCTGTGATCGCAGGAATTTACCGACATAATCAGGCAAAATGGCGCATATTTTTTAAAAGCACGCAATATTTATCAAAAGGCCGCATAATCCCCGCATTTTTCCACACAAAGTTGAGAAAAAAAAAAAGTTAACTCGTCTTGACGTGACGTCATCAGCTCGTGCATTACAGAATGTAAACAACACTGTATAGAGTGAACGTGTGGAGCTCACACGATAGAGAAAACACCAAGATGAAAAAATCTAATCCATCTCATTTACCGACGAACATTTCTACTAAAGACCGGGCAAAAAGTGGGGGGAAACTATTCTGCACCCCGTGCAACTGTGTGTTGGAGCATAAGAGAAAATCGACGGTGACGACCCACTTTGATTCATTCAAACATTCGAAAATGCTTTCTGCTGCTGCGGACAAGAAAGCCAAACAACTCACGTTCACCGAGGCATCAACCTCCAAAACCCTTTCGAGGGCTACAAGAAACGAAGTGAGTAGCCTACAAGATTGAAGCTGGTCAGATAACGAACGAGTAAATGAAAACAGAATGAGGCGGAGAAGTGTGTGTGTGTGTGTGTGTGTGTGTGTGTGTGTGTGTGTGTGTGTGTGTGTGTGTGTGTGTGTGTGTGTGTGTGTGGGTGTGTGTGTGTGTGTGTGTGTGTGTGTGTGTGTGTGTGTGTGAGAGATTAAAATAGCCCAATTGCTTTTACAATAAATAAACATAGAATGTGTTTAATTGAATAGTAAAGGGGTTTAACGTTAGTGGCAGGTTGTGTGTGAGAGAGAATAAATAAGACAGCCCAATATTTAAAAAAAATGTTATTCTTTTTCCCCGCATATTTAGCATATTTCGCAACTTTCCGCATATTTCGCAACTTCCCGCAATTTCACCGCATAAAATCACATAAAAACCCCGCATGTTTAATCGCATAATCAAGGATTTTTGCCCGCGTTTTTCTGGAGGGTCTAACTAAAGACTAATATTAAACTAAACATTTGAATAAAATGTAGAATCCAAAAATCAGGGGTTATCAGGAATCTGCACACAGCACAAAAAAGGGAGAATTTCGCATTTTTCATATTATCTTTTTTTTTTTAAATAGTTAAAGGGACTCTTCACACCAAAATAACAAAGATATATAAGAAGAAAAGAAAAATAGTTATTATAAATAAATAGGACTGAAGGTAACAGGGAAAATATATATTCCTTCATTTTTTCATTTCAAACCTTTATTTAACCAGGTAGGTCCCATTGAGATATTTAGAGTGTGGGAATAATTTGAACATACTATGTGTAAATCAGCATTTTATTGTATCTAGTGTACTGATAAGGTCATTAATAGAAACAGGTCTGTTGTGAACAGATTTATCTGGTAATGAATATTACATATTGCACAATATATTAATTAAAATATATTATTTATTAATTTAATCTGGTTTTCATACTGAAAACCTAACATTAGTTTGTATTGTGCCTTAAATTTCCATTTTCTCTTGAGCACTGCTTTCTTATCAGTGTATGAATTATGACAGGGAAACATACGCATGCAGTTATAATCACTGGATATAAAACAAATACCTGTCTCTATTTAGATATGTATTGTTCTTTGTGTATTGATGAATATATATGTACCCTGCGTTCATGCATGCAGTGCACACAGACTGCACAAATAATAAAATACATTTTGTGACATTTTTCAAAATTGTGCTTTATTTTAACTGTATGATCTTTTCATTTCCATTATTAAAACAAACAAAAATGGGTTTTTTAATGAATAAAATACATATCCTTCATTCAGTCACCTGTGTCTAACGGCTGAAAGAGGCACAATTACACTTATAAAGTGTACAGAATCTTGATCAGAAAACACACTTTCTTTTTTTATAAGACAGGGCGAACATTAAGGCTCTGTTGTTGCAGTGTAGATGTTTAAACTCTAATCCATGGTCTAACAGGAACTTTAATTTCTTCTTGAATACCATGCCTGAATAAATATTGATCACATAAAAACAGCAATCATAAAAACATTACAACACTCACAGCGCTGAAGGGCTGCAGTACGGCGAATACTGAGGCCCTCAAAGTGTGGGCTGCTTATTTCCTACCCTTTTCCGATATTATCAGTGAAAAGGGTAGGAAGCACAACTGTCTGATCGTGGTCAGCCCTGTTCATGGAGCGCACAGTCACAGAGCTCTTTGTAGATCCTCTTGCGTATCTTTGGTATGTCCTTCTGTGAAAACTGCTGAGGTTTTTCCAGAGCGAGGCGTCTAGAGTACTGTGAAGGAGAATGTAATGAGTTCAATACCACGATTATGGAAATGAAGCTCAGCGCAAGTTCAACAAGGAAGACCGTCTTTACTCATTCATCTACTATTTCTATGTTACCACTCTCTCTCCTCTCAATAAGTGATCGGGGGCGTCACTCCCCAGCTTAACCAATCACTTTGCTCTATTCCCACAAGCCTATCATAGCGCTCTGCTAAACCTTTTAAATCTGCTCTCCCCTCCGACAGTTGTCATTTCAGGTGACTCTACACAACCCTCCTCCGCCCCTTTTCACCTCCTGTCCCTCTGAATCCAGGGTCAGGCTAAGCCACTCCTCTTCAGACCGACCCCAACTATCCATTCACCACCACCAGTGTCTAGACCCCGGGGGTTTCATCGGATCGGTTCTCCCCTCCCGAATGATACTCCTGCACAACGGGGCCTAATTGCCAAAACTCCATTACATTCATTTGTGTATTCCTGGCAATAAATATGTATTCTTACATCAAAACCGTCTCTCCTGATTGAAGTAATGTAGTATACTCAAATAAATAGTTAGGATGTTTAGATGAGGGGTAGCATAAGATACTTATCCATAGTCAGGAGAAAATGTCACCACGTGTGGAACCCAAGCAATGAACTGCTGTGGATGGGGGAGACGCAGAACATATTTTACCCAACTAATGGAAAGACCCATTAAAAAAAACTCGATATCAGTTTGAGTGTACGCTACATTTAGAATATTTTCACTGCTTTACCTTGCAATGAAGGATCCCTTTCTAATAGGCAACTGAAGCTGTTATATCCATCTAAAATATCTTCAAAGTTACTAGACTTCATTGGAAAAAACACTTATTTAACCTTGCAAAATATGCAACCTGCTAGTCTATAGCTGCTTTAATTAGTTAGTTAGTTTGGGTACTGTGAGACTTTTGTGAATCCAAACTAACCATTTAAAAACACAAAAATCACACAATAACACACAAAATCCAAACCAATAAAGGCAGTGATAGACCACAAAATGCCTTGTTTTATCAAAGTACAAATACTCTTTTTGTAAATTGAGTTTAGTGGCTTTGAAGAGAGCATTGATAAACCTAATAGCTTCATTTCCTGGTCTGAAAAATAGGCTATATAGCTGTTTGAAGACGAAGTAAAATGGTGATATATTCTCAATATAGTGTACACTTAAACTGATGGATTTTTGTATACCTTTTGTTGCTTCCCCCTCCACATCAGTACATTGCTTAGCTTCCTGTTGACGCTTCTTACTGTTTCTCCAAACGGGTGTGCCGTCCATCTAGTGTAGGTAATACACCGACTATGGATAAGAACCTCATACAACCCCAAGCTTCAAACTATCTGCACTATCCCTTATTGCCAAATAAACATGCTCGTACCTCCAAGACAAAAACTCCGCAGTCATTTTCATTGGTCTGCTGTGGGATTATCTGTAAAGGAGAGCAGGGGGAGACAAGACATCACATGAGATCTGTTTTATGCATTTGTGAGATGACCTTATGTATATTATTATTACTTGTATTATCATTATCAATAACCTTACACCATCAAAGGAACATACCTCATCGTACGAAACAGCCCAACCACTTTCAAAATCAGTTTGCTTCCTCTCCCTTGCTTCCACCATCAAGTATTTCAGGATGTTCTATAATAAGCAAAACATAAAGAAACACTTTAAAATGTCTCTCTGGATAAGAACTAAGCGAAAGAGAAGCAACTGAGTTTTTTTAAGTAGATTGTTAGACAAGAAACATGAGGTTACCCTGGCGACCTTCTGCAGTGCGTTCCCCTGAGAGTCGTAAAGGCAGATCTTTTTGTTTGCGATGTCGGCCGTCACCAGACACCAGTGAACCTCCAGGTGGATGGGCACCAAAAGCAAGCTCTTGGAAAACAAGTCCACCTGCGCAGGAAAGATTAAAGCCACTCTGATTTATCTTCTTTTTGTTTCAGAATCATTTTATCGTGCACTTTAAAGTTATTTTTTCCCAACCTGCTTCGTCCATCTCTTAACACCGTCGTATCCTTTAGTCATGAGCTGCCTGTGGAAGAAGCTGTTCAGAAAATGGACCTAAGAGTTGGGATGAAAAGAAGATACAAAATTACAATAATTAAAGACTGTGGAAATGAATGTCAATCAATCAATCAATCAATGTTTATTTATATAGCCCAATATCAAAAATGTTACATTTGTCTCAGTGGACTTCACAGTTTGTACAGAATATCAGTATGACAACACGACACCCTCTGTCCTTAGACCCTCACATCGTACAAGGAAAAACTTTCAGAGAAAAACCCACAGTTTAAAGGGGAACATGGGAGAAACCTCAGGGAGAGCAACAGAGGAGGGATCCCTCTCCCAGGACGGACAGACGTGCAATAGATGCCATGTGTGAATCGAAGAGATAATACATTTACAGCATAGGTAGACCGAATGTTTGGAAATGCATGTGTCTATAATAAGAAGATGAATCCACGAGGATGTCAACAACCCTGTGGGAGCCATCAGGGAAGTAGTATGATGAGAGTCAGGCAGGACCACAGTGCCAGGTTCAGCCACGACTCGAAGTCCAGGACTCAAATCCAGAACTCAGGATAGTGGATCCAGGACTCAGGACAGAGGATCCAGGACTAAGGATCCAGGACTCCGGACCGCAGCAACAGGATCAGAACTTTTGACTAATGGTTTGTAGTCTAGTAACAGTACTTCAAAAGTTACTAAGAAATGGTCGGATAGGACCAGTTCCATCCTGAAGGACTCATCCCACCCAGCCCTTCATCTGTTCGACCTGCTGCCCTCGGGCCGGCGCTACCGTTCACTGAAAGCCCGCACCTCCAGATTCACAAACAGTTTCTTCCCAAGGGCCATGAGGACATTAAACACACAAAAATAACTCCCCATATCCCCACTGTGCAATAATCATGATCTGTCTCTATGTATACACTGTCATATTTATCATATATATTTTATCATAATTCTATTTTATTCATTTATTTATTAATCCTGGTCATCTACATGACCATCCGAAGCTGTGTGCACTACTTGCTGGAAGAAAACTGTCAGATACTTTTAATCTATTTTTTAATATGTCTGTTTTCAAAGCACTCGCTGGAGCAGTGACTATAAATCTCGTTGTATCCTGTACAATGACAATAAAAGCTTTTGAATTTTTGAATAAAGCAGGATTATGCGGTTCAACTAATAGTTGCTCAATTTCAATACCATAAGTCAGAACAAGGTCGAGAGTGTGATTATAACAGTGGGTTGGTTTATTTACACTCTGACGGAAACCAACAGAATCTAATATAGAGTTAAATGCAACAGTAAGGATATTTTTATCGTCGTCAACATGAATATTAAAGTCACCTACGATAATTACTTTATCTGTTTTAAGTACCAAAGTTGTATAAAAACTCAGAGAATTACTTGATAAGAAATTACTTGAATAAAGGAACCGTCGGTGGCACGGTACGACTGTAACAAAAAGATTGGGCCCTGCCCACGGTTTTCCAGGTCGGATGCGTAAGACTAAAAACAAGGCTTTCAAAGGAGGTATAATTACATTTTTGTTTAGTATTGATAAGTAAACTTGAGTCAAAGATGGCTGCAACTCCACCTCCTCGGCCCGTGCCTCGGGCAATATGAGGATTGATATGGCTGGGTGGAGTGGCCTCATTTATGCTGACATATTCTTCATGTCTCAACCAAGTTTCAGTGAGACAACATCAGAGGCGCGGGAAGGTATTTTGAGTGGGGGTGCTGAGGTGTTGTCCGATGTACTAATTACGCACCAACAGGGGGGAGGGGGAACAAAACCACACACACACAGAGGCATAACAATGGACACCAGTGAACTATTACAGGCACTATAGAGCGCGCACAAAAGCACTAGCACGCACACACACACACACACACACACACACTACAAAGATGTAAAATATTATTTTACCAACAATGTGGAATTTATTGTGGCCTACATGCACTTACACAGATTATGCACGGCTGCAGCACGAGTAACCATAAAATAATAATTTAAATACCACAAACGGATGAATGATACAATATACAGATTATGCCACATGATTAGCAAGATTTAGCGTTTTGTAAAGCAGAACAAATCCGCAGATACGTTTTGTGCCGCCATGTCAGTTACTTGTGTTGTTGCTGCCCGTCACGCTTAAAGCTAGCCGACTAAAAACTAACAAATCCCTTCTCGTTTTTTATTCTTCTATCTTTGAAGCAAAATTTAATTTTTTTATATTAGTAAATTATTTTAATAATAATTTCTATATAAATAATTCTCAGCAAAATTAAATGAAATAAATATTATAGTAAAATAAAAATAATAAACTGTGCCAGATCAGGGAGCCTTCCACACCGCTGCCTGGCGTCTTAGGGGGTGTTCCCAGGCCCTCAGCCCACCCCCCTTCCAGCGCCGCTGCGAACAACATATAAATATTTATAATCTGTATTAAATCTTTTACCAAATTGCTTTAGATGCTAGAGCATTGTATGTTTAAGAGTCCCATTTAATCTTCCTATTTTGTTCTAGGTGTGTAGTTGCTTACAGTTGCTTATTTAATTGGTTATTATTTAGGGCCCGGGCGACGGCGATTAAAAAATTATCTCAATTAATTACAGGCTTTTGTAATTCATTAATCGCAATTAATCGCATTTTTAATCGCAATATAAATATTTGAACCTGGAACAGTGAGAAGCAATTTTCTTTATACATGGCATTTTAGTACTACCATTGATAATGACTGTACATACAGCTTAGCAACAAAACATTGTTTATTTTTTCAGGCTTCATCTTAACAAAGACCAACAGAGAAAGTGCACATTTTGCCTAAGTGTAGCAATAGCATATTTTAGGAATACAGTACATTTCAAGATTCAGGTAGCCTATTAGGTAGGTAGACCTCTGCTAAAACTATAACACTTTGTTTAGTTGAAGTTTAACACAATACTTTCAAGTACATTCAGAACATTGGAACCCTGACTCTTAGAAACATCTCTCTGTTGTTCAGAGCGCCATACGCCCCCCCCCCCCCCCCTGACTTTGTGATTTACCAACAGTTGATTAAAAATCTAATCAATTTCGTCCAACTCTCTCATAACCTGGCCAAACAAATAAACAGTGTTCAACATAAAGCTTGCAGTTGCACCAAGAGTAATAAATAGCTTCACATAAGTGCTACCATTTAAAATAAAATATTATTCTTTCATATCCTGATGAAAAATAAATCTCCTCCTTTGTTGCATTGCATAGGCCACTGTTTGATCACGCGAATTGAAGGTGTGGGGGTCTTGCTATTCCGAGTCAGGGGGCCTAACGCCGTAGTTCTACGCCTACTCTATATGCTTTGCATTGGGTGTACTTGAGGCTTGATGTGCTGCGGTGATATGCGAATTCCTTTTTTTGCATAAATTTGCAAACAACTGCTTTTTTTTTTTTTTCTGCTGCTTATCGACTGTTCCCTCGTCCGTTTTTTAAAACAACAGTGTCCCATCCACGGGCGCCAACCAAAGCGGTACTCATCAGCTTTCTTCGTTCCGTTGCGCTATTGTTCACTGTGGGTTTGTTGTTGTTCTGAAGTAATGAACGTTAGTTGGATGCTCCAGTATAATCGGCCGTACCCTGAAACTGCATCCAGCTGAGGAACGTTCCGCGGTGCAAAAACTAAGTTGCGATTAAATGCG